TTGAGATTTTCCTAGCCACAATATTTTAGATATGAAAATATTCAGTGTCTACTGGCAAGTAAGTGAGATAGGCTTCTCAGCTGAAATAGGTAGTTTTACTGTTTGTGTTATTAAGTCAATTCCAGCAGCCTTTGGTCGTTCTTGCTGTTGATTTAAATTAAATATTCATTTCTATTGTGGTTGTAGCGTGACTTGTGGTTGGCTCCTGGAGCTTAATGGGTAGTAATTTTTGCTTTCTAGAAAAGTCAGGTAGCAGTCTACCCCACTGAAAAAGAGCACCTGGAATGATGAAAAGAAAATGTGAATGCACTATTTCTTTCCAGAGACTAATGGAAGAATGAGTGAAGATGGGTTGTTTTTATTTATGATCTCTCCTTTTCTAGTAGGATAATAATGACCTAGAAAATTATTTGACACATTAAAGAAGGATCCTCTCTCTCTTTCTCTCTCTCAACATTGCCTTTTAAAATACCCACTACCAGCTGCAGTGAGAACCTACTTTGAATTTCTTTATTTACTCAAAATTTGCTTTAATCTTGAAGAGATTGGAGAGTAACTAAAATTTGTGTCTTCCAACCCAAGAAATATGTTTTTTTCTCAAAGTGGGAACTCAGTCTGAATATGGCCAGTGAGTCAGTATCTGAATCCTGCTACCAAACTAAGGGAACAGTGACTCTCTTTGTCTTTCTATCCTACAGGGATTTTTGTCACAAGCACAGTTATCTTTATGAGCAAGAGTATTTTTCTGTTTTTATATTGCTTTGACATTACTGCCACAAAAGCATTGTTAAATTTTTCACCCTCAGTCCTAATTACAGTTCATTTATAGTCACATACAATTGTACCTTTGCAAACCTCACCGGTGAAATGAATTTAAAACATTGCCATATGTTTACTTACAATTTGTGGGAAAACCAAGCATGCTAGAATTACTAGTGCTGCGGAATTTGTTTTGTATGTAAAGTATGAGAAAATAAAATGTGCCGATTTATAATATTATTAGGATTACATGGAGTATTATTTTGGCAGTGTTTGTTTTGAAAAGAGGGGAGCACTGTCTCTAGGACTTATAGATGTCATCATTGGACTGATTTGGCAGCCCAAGAGAGGGACTTGTCTTGAGAAAAGCAGGAATAACAATATCTTGGACCTTGCTGGGACCAGTGGCTTCTGTGTTGACAGCCTCTAAGTTAGTCTATGATGTTGGTAGATATCATAGACTTGTTATCTGTCTTTCAATGTAATTTAATCACCGACAGCCTTGAAATTAGTGGTTCTATCTTTTCCAAATATGAGTTCAATATATTAATTAGGAAAGGGGGCTTGCTTTTGAATACAGATATTAGTACTTACTTAACTGATAGTGTGTCTTAAAGGTGTATGTAAGCGTATTTAGAATTTAAAATCTGTAATAATTGACACTTATTAGAATGAAATGTGGAGGCATTGAGGGAATGTGGAGTCTTCATATAGAAGTGGTCAAAAATACATAAAATATGACATGATTTTTTTTATATTAGACAATGTCAGGAAAGAATATTTCTTCCCAAGGTGAATGATGGCACAATTTTGATTTTACTGAAAGTGTAGGGAAAATGCAGTGGGAAAATAATGGGTATGATGATACTACTTTGAGAAATGAGAAACAATTTATGACCAAGTGGTAAAAGAATAAAGGTGGTAATAGAGGAAAAAGTAGGATTAAAAAAACAAAACAAAAAACTCAAGGCAAAGGATCCTTAGTGCTTGCAGGACATTTTTGGAGTTTTTGCTGAGAAGGGTAGATTGTCACTGAATTTGACAAACTCAGGGGATAACTCAAAAAGTAGAATTGGGCAAGATTACAAATGATGCTGCATATTTCTAAAACTTGCTTTTCAAAGCTTTGTCCCTTTCCTACAATGATAATCACAAGATCCTTAATTGAATTCACTTATACACATTCATGTGCCAGGTGTGCAGTTTCATAGTCTAGCCTTCATTTTCCAGTACCCTGTTGCAATTTGAAATATTGATCTCCAAGGATGAATCTGCCTCAGAAGACTAATGCATGGGCAAATACTCTTTTTCAGACTAATATCTGAAAGCAAACTATTTAACAAAGCTGCTTTTATTTAAGGCTAATGGGTCTATTCAGACTTGCAGAGTAGGGGCAATGGCCTGAGAAGATCTTACATGTGTTTACAGCCCCCCTTTTTGGTCAGAATTAGTTTTTGTTACATTCTTGATCTAAGTTGTATCTTCTATCCAACATCAGAGTACCTTTGGCGTCTTTTACCAATACTTCACCTAAAGAGGTTTGTCAGATCATATTTACCTTTCTAATTATTATGACCTGAATCTTAACTCCTTGTTGCCTTCCTACATTTAATTGGAATGGTTTATTTAAATCTTACAGTCATTTGCAGTGATTTTACCCATTGTGCTTGTTCTTAAGTGTTTCCAATTTCTGGCAAGTAAAAAAAGAAACAGGAAGAACAAAAGTTTAGAATTGAAGTAAATTCTAGTCAGGTTAGGTGTTGTGAGGGCAGTCAGCTAAGAAGATTTCTAGATGTCAGTGTCACAGCATTTTCAGATCTAGTGAGGGAAGACAGTGGTTTCCTTGTTTGCAATTCAATGTCATCACATATTTAGGAAAACAGCAACTGTCATGGTTAGTCACATCCATAGCTATCTTGGTGATTTTACTGAGGTCAATAAATTCTCCATCTCTGGTTTCAGAAGAAGGCAGTTTAGTTTCTATTGATCCAAGCCAAAAAGATTGGGAGAAAATAACTGGAAGTGTTAGTTTGGAATAGTATAACTAGATGCTAGGAAAAAAAAAAATCAGTATCCAGTCCTGGTTGCATACACAAAAGCAGAAACCAAAAATGTGATCACATGGACCAGAAAGTGATGTTCAAAAAGGAAGATAAGTTACTGAAATGCTATTTTTTTTTTTTTTGGATTGCCAGATGGGGTCAAGGTCCCCAGTAAACTTTACATTATGTTTATATCTCATAGTAAATGGAAGATCAATTTTTATGTGAATGATTTTTTTTTAATTTAAGGAGCAGACTGACCCCCATGTAGATATTTCCTACTAAGAAACCTAATGAATGACATTAGGGAGATTTATGGGGTTGCTCCTGTGTATCAGGTCTTGATCTAAGACAAAGGGTTTGTGTAACAATGAATATCGATGGTCTAATCTTGACTCTTCCCACTCAATCCTCCAAAAGTAATAAATCCAACAGAAAAAGCAAATAAAAGCACAGATGACTCATGTCTTAAGAACAACAGGAGACAGCAACAAGCCTGTGGTTGCAAGCATAGGAACTCTTAAAGAGGTTTAAGAGACTGAAAAAGAATAGAGGGACATGGAGGACTTAGATGAAATGCAGACAAAATCATGTCAGAAAGAGATGGCTAGAATGCCGTGTTAGTTTTTAGCATTGACCACAGGAAAAGAAACTGTAAGATAATGGCATCAAAACCGGCAGCCTTTGTAGGGCACTGCTTCTGTTAGAGTTTCAGATATATACAGAAAGGATAGTACCCTTTGAAGACATAGCAATGAAACTGAAAAGGAAAGAAAATGGAGAAATTAAGGCTCCTACTACATGATTCCTCAAGCCCTCCTCATTCTCCCACCTGCATCATTCATAAAAACTGCATAGGAAAGGGAAGATATGATGGAAGAGAGGCCTCTCAAACTAAAAACCCAGTCCTCTGATTAAATAGGACTACAACAAAGAAGACTAAATCTATACAAAAGTGCTGTAAAAAATAGGACAATAAGGGTGAAAACATTTCAACAAATGAAAACTTTCTCAAAAAATCAATCATAAATTTAAGGAAAACTGTGCACAATATTGTAATCTAAATTAAATGTTCTCATTCAGGCTCTTGGGTATATGAAACATAGACTAAAACCACCTTGAGTTGGAAATATAAAAGCTAACAATAGAATTGGACAAAAACCAAAATGAAGTGAAATAAGAGGTAATTAAACTCTTGGGTAATAGAAAAGATAAAAATCAAACCTGAAATGAAGACTAAATTACAAGATCCCCAAGGGAAAAAAGACTCAAATGACAGTATCCCATTGTATAGTATTTCTATTAAACATAAATGGTCTAAATACAAATCAGAGATTGGCAGAATGGATTTAAAAAGAACAACCCAATTATATGCTGCTATATTAAAAAAAATTCTTTTCAAGTGTAATTATATATAGATACACACACACACACACACACACACACACACACACACATATATATATATATATATATATATATATATATGGTAGGCTAAAAGAAAAAAAGATGTTAAAAGATAAACCATGCAAACACGTGCCAAAAGCAAGCTGGAGTGAGTTTATTAATATCAGGTAAATAGAGTTTAGAGAAAAAAATTGCCAGGGATAAAGAGACATATATATATATATTGATAAAGGGTCAATTCACAGAGAACTCACAGCAATACTAAATATGTATGCAGTAAACAACAGAGCATCAAGACACACAAAGTAAATGCTGGCAGAATTCAGATGAGAAATTCACAACTCCCTGATTATATATAGTTGGGGATGTCAGTAACACTGTCAACACTGTCAACGATAAAACAACTATTTAGAAAATCAGCAAATGTATAGTAAAACTAAGTGACATTAACCACAGAATCAATTGACATTTATGGAACTCTCCACCCAACATAAGCAGAATATATATTTCATTGATAATTACATATACCAAGATAAACGTGAGGTGATAAAGCAAAGTTCAACATACTTCAAAATTCTAACTAGATATTATTAACAAATAGCAGGTAAAATAATTGGGGAAGAGAGCTTCATCTAAATGAAAATCTTACTCCTTTGCTCTTGATTCTGAACTTCTGTTGTCTTAGAAAATGGGAAAATAGATTTGTTTCATCTGCCAACGTACCAAAATGATAATGAAACATATTAATTATTATCCATAATAAACAGTCTTCTTGTCTTCTTTATTTTACAGCTTCTTTATTAAAAGGACTAAAACATGCTAACATAGTGCTGCTTCATGACATCATCCACACCAAGGAGACACTGACCCTTGTATTTGAATATGTGGTAAGTAAAATAAGAATTCAGATTTTATAAATATGAATGAAATTCTCATAGTATATACATTTTAATTTTTAGTTTGCTATACTCAAATGTGTGTTTTATGGTATGCATGAGACATAATTTTAAATGATAAGTATCTTAATAGAAAAATCCAGAAGAATGTTAAGTTGAATTTTTAGCAGATATATTATTTCTTTATATTTTATTTGTTACTAGAATACACTGTAATTTTTTTGTTTATCAAATAGGATTAAAAAGCATATTGGAGATCTCTGTGTCAAAGGAAGGTCACAGAATACAAAAGTGTTTTTTTTCTTTGACTGTAGCTTGATTTATCAAGCAGATCCTTATTAAGATGTTTTCTGTGGAGAAAAGGCTGATACTTACAATTTAGACTTCATGGTTTTCCCCCTCAGTTGGTATTTCAGCTATTAATTAAAACTTCCAATTTGCATAGCATCCAATGTAATGATCTTATTGTGTTGAGAGTATTACTGCTAGAAGACTTGGACTTGAACTCATAATTAATCTTTCTCCGTTTCCCTTAGAAAAACATATGGTATTTGTGTAGCATCACTTCAGCATTTAACTGAAGAATCATGAAATGTAACCATGATAATTAACACCCCAATTTTCACAGATGGATCTGAGAACATGTAATTTATAAGATCCAAATGACATTGGTGGAGACTTCTATTGAGAAGAATAGCTGTTGGTATTGTGAATGTATTAAGATCTCATTTTGTAATTACCACTCTACTTTTTTTTTAAAATTTGAAACAGTTTCCACTTTTCCTTAAAATATATATAATAGAATGAATATTTGCAACATTTTTGTCTTGCTAATGTCTGCCTGTGTCTGTTTGTCATTTGAAATTTGTTGTCTTGTGAAGAAGCCATTCATCTTGTCTATTTACATATAAATGATAGATACATTTGAATAATATGGTAATGTGGCTACAAGGACAGCTAGAGCTGAGCAATTGCATATATTACATGCTACCAAGAATGGATACAGATTCACGCATCAATGCAAATGTAATTTCTTTTGTTTAATCGATTTTGGAGTCAATGTATTCAGCTGACTTAGAATTGGAATTTTTGTTTCATATGTTCCACTATGTCTAGTTGCAATATTTCATTTCTAGATTTTCCTTCGTAAACTTGACTAACTTTTGTAATATCTTTATACAAAAGATATTTCAAGCAGCCCTCCTGGGTGCCTGTGACTATGCAGGTGCTTCTCTTTTTCTCAATAAACCTGTCCTTTTCAAATGTAAAAAGAAGAAAACAAAAGCTGTTTAAAAAATGTACTTGCATGCCCCCCACCCTTTGCTACTGAATAACTAAATTAAAAGAAGAATGAAGAAAATGAAGAAAAATTGTTTGACTCCTATAATCAGTAACGTTGAGACAGTTCCTTTAAAAAAAACTGAAAATACGTCCTTCCGATCTTAAAGAAAAATTAAATGTATTTGTGAAGTTAAAGCTCTCCACGTTGGATCAGATATCACTAATAATTTTATGTTCTGTGGAAGTTGCCACAGAAAAGAGAAGATTCACTGGCCTTAATGTCTGTTGATTGATAAATCAGACTTTTAAACAGTCGTTTTTCTTTGAGTGAGTGAAATTTTCCCTGCCCCCAATTCTTGCAGAGACATCCCAGGTTCTCGAAAATTAACCACATTATCATGTGTGGTTTGCAGTATCATGTGTGGACATTTGCAGAGGTGACATGTCTTTCCCGACTTCTCTGGGAGAGTTAAGACCCATGACCCTGTTCTCTTGTAGAGGATGAGGCAAGTTGGTGTCCTTATTGGCTTGTAAATGCCCCATCTTGCCTCTTCAGGTCTCCACTCCAACTTCAGTTCCTTACTTTCCCATTGTTTTTATTTTCACCTTTTATTTTCACCTTCCACCTCTCTTTGTCTTGTTCTATTCTTTTCATCTCCTAGCCTTTTTGTTCTCCTGCATGAAGACTTTTTGTTGCTACAACTGAAGTTTGTTGGCTTTTATTTTAAGTCAGATGTTTAAGATGCAATCAGAGGAGGGTAGAGATTGGGGAGCCTCAGGCTGTGTAAGATTCCTACAAGTTTCCCCAGGTAGCGTAGAGAAGGTGCAGACTCCTGTCAGCATTGTTCTGTCCATGTAGCCGTTACCCAGTACAAAAATAACTTTCCTGAGTGTTTCCTTAAGCTTTTATTTTCTTAAACTCCCTTTTCACTGCCTTTTTTTTTTAAGATTTATTTTATACAAGAATTGGGGTACAGGCCAGATGCGCGGGAGGATGAGAGGATTCACCAGAGACAGAGCAGGGAACAGAACAGGCAGACTGACGAAATACACTGCTGAGGGGAGCAGTGGGCAAGGCAGGAGAGGTCTGCGCACCATGTAGGACCTTCACCGACTAGCTGGGATCGAGCCAGCGCTGCAGAGGCTGCGGACAGCTTCACAGTGCGGCGCTCAACCGCCTGCGCCACCAGGGGAGGCCCCCTTCTCACTGCTTTTTCTCTGTAAACATGCTGGTATCTCAAGGAAAAATTAATGTTCCTGCATTTTATGGGTCAATTTAATAGACTGCTTTCTTCACAGTATCTAGCAGATATCAATTCTGCTCTTGCATGTCTCATAGCAGCGGAAAGGGGATGGTAATTTCAAAGCACGAAATTCCCTGGGGAATTAAAGCTGATCTAGGTGAGGGAAGTAGATGAGGAAAGTGGAAAGCATGAGGTGATGGGAGAGGGAAGAGAAAAGGGAGGTGAAAACCTGTTTGAGACACTTTGACCTTAATCCTAAAGACTAGCAACTAAAATTTATTGAGTTTTATGCAAGGCACTGTGCTGGGGACTTTGCAGACATGATCATTTTTAATTTTCTCAAAACCAAATCTTTGTGAATCTTAGCACAAAGGAGGAACCTAAGGATTAAAGAGATTAATTTCTTGTAGTTTACAGAAGAGACTCAGACCTATCTTACTTTGAATCTTCATTGCATTATTATATAGCCTGTTTATTTTTATTATAAGTTTACTTAGGTTGAGCCTTTAGTCAGAAGAGGGAAAAGAAAGTTGGTTCTCTCTTTTCATAACCCTCCCGTTTTGCACTTAAATTTCTAAAGTGCAGTTAAATCCTAAATGCCAGTAGACTCCTTTATAGTTTACATAAGTAGAGTATGTATTTGTAGACTGATCAAAATCTAGCTATTTGAAATTTTATTTCAATTATGAAATGTCTTACGTTTCCATGAAGCAAACTTTGTCCCATGTAGTTTACTGAGATCTACTTAAACTCTCTCTTTTACACATACACACACAAACACACACGCATGTGTGCACACACAGAACCTTTAATTTAGCAAGTTCTAAAATCAGTATCAAACAATTAATATATTACTTAAACTTGATGAGATTGCTACATTTCAAAATTGTTAACATGAAAGTTATTTTCTAAAATGTTGACTTTATAGTTCCATGTAATTTATAGTATCTTCTTTTGGAGAGAGGGAACTGAGTAATTAAACAGTGTAAGAAAAATCAATATACCCATACCTATACAAACATATCTCAGGCCCATTAAAACCCAGTATAAAGGGAAGACAACTATTATAAGACTTATTAGGCACTATTGGAGATTTCCTCTGGATTTTAGAAATAATTAAGTGTTCATGGGGTTTTTGAGGTGCCTATGTAATTTAGTGCCACAAAGCAAAAGATTTTTATTTATGATAATGTGCACACAGTATAAATATATCTCTGTATTTTGCTTAAATGAGATCTCTAAGCCTACCTGTTTTATATTGTTCCCACAAATGACATTTTGGGTTACATAAAAGCCTTCCAAGGGCTAAAATAATGAGATAAGTGATGAAAAGTTAGTGATAAGAAACATTACTCAAGGAAATGACTCTGGAGGTCATTATTTAATATGATTTTGTGGATAATAGGCTATTGCTAGCTGAGACTATCTCTTAATGATCCAAAGTGGTCTGAAATATAGATTCTCATACATTTTCAAAGCATGTGGATATAGTGATAGAATGATCCACAGCTGCAAGTCTGAGTACACACTGGGAAAAGTGCGGCCCAGGTTGCTGGCGCCTCAGCCACATAACGTGTGACCCCCGTGCTATGTGCCTTTCTGGATAATGTCTTTCTTCCATTGTCAAATGGAGAGAGCAGCTTTCACCAAAGAGTTGCTCAATTTGTCTGAGTAGGTATGTGGACTATGGTGTAGGACTGTGAGCACTGTGCTGGTGGGAGAGCTATGGTGACCATATCTTAGGGAGAAATCTTACACCGTCAAAAAATTAACAAGGTATAAAACAATGGAACTTCATTAATAAATAAACAAATATATAAAAGAAATAGGATCTGGCTTCACAATGGTCAAAATTATTCTTAGAGCTATCTTTTTTCCTTTTAATATTAAAACTTAAAAGAGAAACATAGATAATAGTTTATAGACTCATTGACTCCAGAATATATTTAGTTGTGAAAGTGCTAACATTTTTTCCTACTTAAATCTAAAATTAAGCAATTTAATTTTTATTTTTTGCCAAACAAGTGTCACATTATCCCTTTTAACACCATACAGATAAATTTAAAATAGATTTCCTAAGTGGAAAAAATATCAGTAGTAAACATGATTATGTAAATATCTATTACTACTAGGTAAGTACATAGCTATTCAGTTCTATTTTAGAGTATATGAGAGTAAAGTAATATGTAGCATCACTTTTCATTGCACAGTTAATAATTATGTAAAAGAAGAAATGTAGCGAACTTATAACTAATCATGATATTTATTGGAGCAATCATTTGATTTCTTTTGCTATGCTGTAAACTAATGAAATATTCCAAACTAATGTGAACATTTCAAAAGCCTTGTATGCCACATTAAAAAAAAAAAAAAAGGCTGTCACCAAAAATCATATAGAGTGATCTATGTATCACCTAAAATTACACAAGTTATTGTCAGGGGACTTTTATAAAGCACTGTCATATG